AAACACGGGTAGCAACAGTGTACTGGCGGAAGGATTCCGAAGGTCCTTCTGCAAGAGAGCATGAGGGCGACCACATCTTCGATTTAAGGACGTCTGCGAAAAGAGACATAAGGGCGATGGACATGGACATCGAGAAATGGGAAGAAAATGTCAAGGATCGCCCACGCTGGTGGCGCGATTTACTCCGACGGATGAAGTGAAGAGAGAAGAAACGGGGGCTTGCCGCCGGGCTGAAGCATGCTCGAAGGAAATAAGAATGAGATAGATAGATAGATAGATAGATAGATAGATAGATAGATAGATAGATAGATATGGAATAGCCAGAAATAGATAGATAGATAGATAGATAGATAGATAGATAGATAGATAGATAGATAGATATGGAATAGCCAGAGATAGATAGATAGATAGATAGATAGATAGATAGATAGATAGATAGATAGATAGATAGATATGGAATAGCCTTAGATGGAGTTCGCAAGGAGCTGGAAGGCACTGACGAAGATAAAGCTCATAAAACCCGGCCCAGGACCTCGACGGCAAATCACAGGAAGCAAGAGTCTATTGATGGGAGGATACCGTTCTCTATGTGGAACTGGCCACCTACAAGAGGGCACGAGGCCGACCTCATCTTCGCTTCAAGGACGCCTGCAAAAGTGATATGAGGGCGATGGGCATGGATATCGAGAGGTGGGAACGCATCGCCAAGAATCGCCCACGCTGGTTGCGCGATTTACACCGACGGATGAAGCGAAGAGTGAAGAAACGAAGGTTTGCCGCCGGGTTGAAGCATGCTCGAAGGAAAGAAAACAACATGGGAACAGATGCTACACCGTCATCAACAGCTGAGGCATAAATCATTGGGCACAGATACAGGGGTCTCTCGAAACTGACGGATATATATATATATATATATATATATATATATATATATATATATATATATATGGCTAAAATACAAAGACAAGCTGAAAAGCAACTTGTCAGCAGTCAATATACTACATAAAACCCTTTAGCGCTTAGCCTTGGAGCGGGTAGAATGGAGATCAACGTGTTTTAGTGGACTCAGCAGTTTTCAATCTGCTTGTCTGAATCATCTTCAAGAAGCGAGAGCAAGATCTAAAAGGTCAGCCAATCTAACAGTGATCTCATTTCACAATCCTCACACTTACTCCATTATGTGGCCTCCTTCGTAAATCACTAGCGGGCCATAAATGCCACTTAAGATCATCGCACAAAATTTCATAACTGAATCAACTGAGCTGCCAGATCTTCATACGTCGAAACCGACGGAGAGTCCATATATATATATATATATATATATATATATATATATATATATATATATATATATATTATACTATTATCTTATGTATTAATTGGGAGGTTTTATATGCCATCAAATATGGTCGGTGTTTTTTTTCAGTAAATTATCTGAAAAAGTATTAATTTCTGATAACCCCGGATGTATTTTATCATCATACCTAGGACTCGACTTGAAGTGGAGAGATTACATCGAATCTACTGCAAGGAAAGTTGGGTCACTGAGTCGTGCTAGAATTTTTTTATCGTCAGAATCCATTTTGCACATTTACAAATCCACCATTCGTCCGGGCATAGGACACTGGTGCCATTACTGATCTGATGTTGCTACTGTGCATCTAGAGATTCTTGACCAAATCCAAAGACGGATATGCAATGTAGTAGGTCCTGACCTGGCATCTCGACTTTAGTCAGTTTTATCAGCGACGCGACGTTGCTTCCCTCTGCATATTCTACAATTATTTTCATCGCATCTCCACTGACGAGATTTTTACCCTCATGTCCCGACTACATGCTTTTAAGCGTGCTACTAGATTGGCAACATTGGAGACGTGAGGGCCCGGAGCGAAGAGAGATGAAATGGAGGCTTACCGCCGGGGCGATGTGTGCTCGAAGGAACATCGGGGGTCTGGGGGGGGACGTTTTCACATGCATTAGTTGCGAGTGAGACTGCCACACAGCCATAACAAATGCTGCACTGCCTTCAGCAGCTGAGGCATAAATCTTTGGGCGCTGATCCATCGTCTTCTGAGACCGATAGATGCTACACTATATAGAGTTACAGTACTTGGCAAAAGTCTTATACATTTTAAAGTATCGTACATTTCTAAAAATTGCCATCTTATAAGTGGATGTTCTTTATTCTGCTGTCTACAGATGAAACTTTGGAAATATTGGAGCCATTTTCACACCTATTTAACATGTCTTTTAGCAAAGGTTCTGAAAGAGACCGAAAGGTGCGAGAAGATCCTCAAAAAATGGCCGTGTAAAAGATTTCGGCCACCTCGTATAAAAAATGACATGCTATGTTTAAAATAGAAAAATGACATTAATAAACAGGTTGAATTTAAGTTAATGCCCATTGCTAATATTTTCTGTAGTATCCCGTTTCTTGAATAATTGGTTCAGTGTGCACGGTGGAGTAATGGATAGCGGCTTGGATTGAGGAATCGGAGAGCCGAGTTCTAATTCCAGTCGAATCAATTACATTCACTTAGTGCTAATACTCTTGGGGAAGGTATGAATCCTCTTCTTCTCCCCACCCAGCTATGGTTAAATAGCAGAACAGACCGGTTCTGGTCTATCGCAGAAAGAAATGGAAAGCGGGAAAAAATCTGCCTCGTCAGTCATATATCGAAATATACATGATCGCCTAAGCGTGTATCACTCATGGCACAAAACTGACATAACTACCTTGGATGGGATGCATACAAATCCTTCGCTGTCTTTACAGAAACGAGATGCCATTCCCTGCGGTTGGGCTCCCACAAAACAAGATAGCATGGATTCTTCTGATGAATTCTATTCATTACACCTGTCTATATTTGATCCATGATTTGAGTCAGTTCTCTAACCTGGCCACTTATTCAATGCAGTGATACATTCAACAAACAGTCTCTGTTGTGTTGCCTGCAACTTTTTGATGCGTATCTTTGTAATGCAAAAAAAAAAATTCGCCTTCGTTTAAGTCTGCTATCAAATTTCAGCAACAGGATACACAAGGAGCGATATATAAAATGTCGACCATATATAAGTTTAATTTCGCGCATGCGCTTTGTTTCATTTTTTATTTTATCGACTGCACAGTACAGTAGAATCAGTTGTGTATCGTCTGTGTGAAAAAGATCCCCATGACGGAATTCACTCCGCCTGAAATTTGGAAACGGCTTGCTGTACTGCTTGATATTCGCGCCTGAAGCTGTAATACGAATATGTCAGGGAGTTTAGGTGCCAATCTGAGGACAGTGCAGAGGATTCGAAAAGAGTTGGATGAGTTTAATGATGATTACGAAGGTGTTTGGAGTGATCACTAGTGATCGCAACGTTATATCTCCATTCATCTTCGTTCTAATAAGATAAAACTCCCAAATTTATTGGTGAGGGTTTCAGACGCAACACGGAGGCCTACATCAAGTACCTTGAGGGGGTACTGTTGTCCTGAGTCAAGAGGGTGGCTACTGAAAGACTCTATATCTGGCAACAGGACTCTGCACCATGTCACACAAGCAGGAGAACCTAGTCATGGCTGTCAGACTATTTACGCGACCACATCACTCCTTACATCTAGCCATCTTCCTTCTCAGGCGAACCCCCCTTGATTATTGTGTGTGGGGTGCAATTAAGCGAGAGATCAACAAAACTCATTGTAACACTAAAGATGAACTGAAGGCAAGGATTATGGCAACATTCACAAAGAAAGAGACCGTCCATAAGAGTTGCAGGAGATTCCGAAGTCGTCTGGAGGCAGTGGTTGAAGCCAAAGACGATTTTATTTAATAAATTTACTCTCTTGTATTTCAAGATATTTTGTGTAGATATGGTAAGTATATCTGTTAAAATAAGATTGCAGTATTATTTTCATTTTTGGGTAAGTTACACGACAATCTATCCATCGCACACTATATATATACGCACACACACACACACACACACAAATATATATATATATATATATATATATATATATATATATATATATATATATATACACAAAATAGCCATTTTGTTTCAACACTATTGGTGTCTTATCAAGTGATGGTGTGAAGTGATGAAACAAAATGGCTATTTTTGTAGTGATTTCCTAACATATTTATGTTATAATTTTCGAATAAATCATATTTGCTCTGCTCTGTATTGAGCACTCTTTTAAGAATATCATTTTTATAGTTATTGGAATTTATTCCGTATACACCAATCCCATACCTGTATATATATTTATATATTTATATATACAGTAAGGGTAATTAATCCAAGTAGATCCTATTAATATAAAATATTAAAACTGATCCACAAAAGAGAGCTCAATATAATTTTTATTATAGATCATATAAGTAAATTACAATCAATGAGATTCAAACAATTTGTTTGGGTTTCATTGATTCTAATTCACTATATATATATATATATATATATATATATATATATATATATATATATATGTATATGAGTTAAATATCAAATGCAGATCAAATATGGATCAGAATCCGACAGGATCATACGATAAAGAACAAATAACAAAAGTCCATCAACCTGAAATGTTTCACTTTTATTAAAGTTTTCGTCAGAGATTGGGCGAAAACAGACAAAAAGACAGAACTTTGGTATTTTCAATTTTGTTTGTATCGATTCTCGTTGGTCAGTCACGTATTACGTGCATTAAAATCATAGATAATTCTTTAAGTTTGGATTTGTAATATCTTCACATTCGTGCCTTTTGATATACGTTTCGTCTTTGTTCTTTATCATAAATACACTGACGTCTTTCGTATAGTAAAAACGTTAAAATTCTTCATCATCTGAGGAGATTTTCCAGCTTTGGCTACGATATAGGAGGACCGATATTACATAACAGTTCATTAATCTTTTTTTTGTTTCAAGTAGGGATCGAAACCCGACCGATTTGGCATTAGTCAGAGATTCTACCCACAAGCTATCGTCGCATGGAAGAGAGTAAGGGAAATTTTAACGTTTTAAGTTTCTAAGACCAGTCTTGGAGTTAATCCTGTTTTGGTGACCAGGTGTCCCATTGTTGGTGGAAAAGATTGTTCCAGTGACAGATTTTTCGGTCCCAGATTGGTTCTTCTTTGAAGGGCAGGGGCCCTTATTTATCCGGGTAACTACCTTTCCCGTATGAGGTGTTCTTTGTGTTGTGGGGCTCTCCCCTTTTTACATAAGATGGACTCGTCCAAAGTATACTTATACTGACAGAGAGAATACCTGATGTTGAGATACGACAGACAGATACGTTGAGACAAGGTTGACGGCTTTACTTACAGAGATACGGAGACAGACTAACATTCCTGGGGTTTAATAATCACTTCAAGTCTGTATTCTTTTTTCTTATTTTCTATCTGAATTACTGGCGTTGTTTATTTATTTGTGCAGGATTCCATTCACGGAATCCACAACACTTTGTAAACATTGAGATTTGTATTTTTTGCGTTTTATCCTTA